CCCCCCCCCCCACCTACCCCGGACAGAACCCTCGCGCTACGGCCCCCGACGGAGAGGTTGAAGTTGGAGCGGCGGCTGCCTTCCCGGCTGCCATCGGAAGGGGGCGCGTCCGCCGTGTAGAAGGAGCCCGACCGCTGCAGGCGTAGAAACACCATCCCGAGGTTTTCCAGCGTTCCGTGTTCCTGTACCGTCCCGTTTTTCGAGAGAGAGAGAGAGAGAGAGAGAGAGAGAGAGAGAGAGTAGTGGCGGGGACGGGGTAGGTGAGTGGGCGCGGAAAGGCGTCGGTGTACCTACATGCAAGAAGGAAACGACGCCGGAACGGCAAAACGAGACACCACTCATCCCCAGCAAGGCCGCTCGTACCGACCCCTACACGGCAGACCGCCCGGTCGGCTGCTTGTGAACATCACGTGCTCCATCCACCCGGGATACCGTTCTCACCTCCGTGAACTTGGCCCGATCCATGCCCACGCACGACACCGGGCCTTCCGCGATTGCCGTGGCCGTCGTTGCAAGGTTTACCACCAGGGCCTCCTCGCCAAACATCTCCCCCGTTTCCTGGATAATTACAGTCACATCAATACATGACAAAACCAGAAAACCGCGAGGGGGGGGGGAAGGGGTCAGGAGCGGCGGAACAGACTGTTTAATACCGAATACAATGGGTGCTTCGCCCGCCCCCCACGAGGGCCCGGTCTTCGCGTAATAACCGTAAGTAAAATGTACTTCTAGTTTCAAGTTTTGTTGACAACAACATCGGAAAGTGGTGGGAGTAGATCAAGGATCAGAAGGACTGTTAGACCCTGGGGTCACCCCCCTGCGGAGCAACAACAAACGGCATGCTGCGAATAGCTTTTGTTTTTTTTTGTTTGAAGGGGGCACACAGATAGCAGTCCTACTTACTTGAGCAAAGACAAGGAACCGGCAATCAAAAATGCGCGAAGACGGTGAGGAGATGGCTCTTCTCAATCTACAATCACCTGTAATTATGCTATAGCTAGAGAAGTAGCGAAGCCGATTTCCGTTTGGTGGTTGAAAAATCCCGAAACGACGAAAATTTCGGCTGTTGACGCAGCTGGCGCGACTACCGAGACGAGGGTCAAAAATCGCCTTCGCTACTTCTCTAGCTCTGGTTTCTGCGCACACAGCTAAAAAAACGATCCCCGATTGACCTAGAAGCCGACGAGTGGCATTGATTACCAGATCACCTCCTATGGCTAAGGGCGGTGGTAAAAACAAGGGTCGCGTCAAGTCCAAAAAAAAAAACTTCACAAACTTCACGACTTCTCTTCTCGAGAGAGAAGGATGCACGTTTGCGGACGCAGCGACGGCTGGGCGCGCACGCAAGGCTGCCGAGAACGCCGACTACCCTACCCTGAAGCGTACGGCCGTTGCTACCCTCGAGAAACTCAAAAAAGCTCAGTTGGCGAAGCGTAGAGAGGCTTGAGTCCGCAAATCGGCGGAGCAGGCCGCAGAGGAGGAGCGACAATTGTTGGCGCGAGAGCGAGTCCTGCGCGCCGATCTGAAGAAGGAGCTTGGGGAGGAGCAGCGACGTAGAATCGAGGCGGAGCAACGGGCGCAAGCAGCGATCGCACGCGAGCAGGCCTCGGAGCATCAGAGGCAGCAGCAGAGGGCTGCTGATGGAGAGGCGGTGGCGAACGTCCTGACCCAGCTGGGAAACTTGCGGTTGGAGAAAAAAATGCTTCAAGATCAACAGCGCGAGATGGTTAAGATTTTTTGTCCACAAGCGGCAAGCGTGATGGCGGTGCAGCAACAGCAGCACAACGGGAATCCGCTGCTTTCCGCGAAAGACCAGCTCATCCACACCCGGATGGAGGTAGAGCAAGCGAGGAGGGAGCTGGAGGCGGCGTCGGCGTGGGGAAAGGTTGAGAAATGCTAATTTGAGGGAAAAGGTGCGTGCGTGCGTGCGTGCGTGCGTGTGTGTGCGTGTGTCTTTACCCTCGTGTGTTTTTGGCTTTGCTGTTCCCTTCTAGCGCGACTACTTCGTATGCCTCCGAGTCCTACAGGTTGATAGAACCAACATAAACAGGACGATACCAAGAGAGGCAGGCGAAGCTGCATGCAGCTGCTATCATCGACAGACGTGGTGTTGAGAGCGAGAAAATACAGCAGGAGCAGCAGCAGCGCGCATTTTTTTTGTTTTCCCGCTCTCACAACCGCCCTGCTGTTTGCCCGTTGCCCTTTCTCTTTTTTCGGCAACAGAACGGGCGGGTCCGCCGTCGAAGCGGGCGGGTCCGCCGTCGAACCGGTGGGGTCCGCCATCAATGACCGATCGGGCTGTGGGGTACTGGCTTTTTGTGTGTGCCAGCAGCCTCAGTGGGCGCAGTGACGGGTGTCCACCTCGCGCATTGCTGCGTGAACGCGCTTGACCATATTTGTCCAGTCTGTTCGTGTGTGTTCGTGTGTTTTTTTATTTTGATTCAAATTCCAAACGTTTTTATTGGTCCAAGAAGGAAAAGCGCAGTCTATTTGCCACGAAAAGTTCACCCGGTTTGGGACACATTTTTGGCCTTAAAATAGGGGTAACCCCAGGGTCTAACTGTGGAGAGCAAAAGGTTGACAACAACACGTCAGCAGTAAAGAAACACCGATGCAGGTTCGCACAGGTGCGCAGTCGGAGATTTAAACAAAGAGGGTCAAGGCTTGCGATCATGGGCGGTAAGGTGTTGTTTTATATTGCAATGGGTGAATTGCAGCGCCGAATCCCGGGGCACACATCAACTGGCGACTCTGCGTGTGCGTGTGCCAAAAATGGCTGTACTGCGTGAAAAGTTGGCTATGCAATTGAAGTGGCAGGGCGACAACAGCAGCAACATCAGACAGTCGTTCGGAGGGAGTCTCGAAACACGGCAAGCTTCGTTCTTCTCATTTCTCTCAAGCGATGTTTCCCGCTTGGCCGCCATGCAGATGGTGGTGCTACAGCAGCAGCATTATAGCAACATCAGCATTACAGCAGTTGATGAAGTGCTTCTGTAGCATCGCGTGAGTGTACAGCAGGTGGGGCATGTGATGAGCATGTTTATGATATGCAGGGCGGAGGGGTCGCCTGCTGGTACAACTGTTAGGCGTGTCAATCGGGCAGATTTTGGAGCCAAAAATGTGACCGGTCTATTCAGCGATTTGGGGGGGGGGGGACACGGATTGGGTTCTTTTTCGGCTCTTGAGAGTGCCCGCCTATTATACGGATTAAACACTACATCACTCAGTTTGTTTGTGCAGGTTGTTCTGCGCCCAGGCAGCAGCTTGGCTCTTCGTACGTTACACACACCTGGACACAAGTCCAATAGAGGCGACTAAATACTCGGTTTTCTCTTATAGTTCAAGGGCGGACGAACAACACCAAAAAACATGTTTTTTTTTTTTTAGCTCTTTGCTCCCCACGCCCAAGGCGACCTTTGCTCCTCTCGAAAAAGTGAGCTTACAGCCCTCTACCTTGGGTTTACAGCTATACCACACAACAAACCGCATCCGAATCGCATCAGCCAACCACGAGATCTACATGTCTGAAAACGGCCCCTCCAGTGGGGCTGCAGCGCCCACGCCAGCAGACCCTCCCAAAAAAAAAAAACGAGGTCCGCGCCGTTCGGCAGCAGGAGGCGCGCTGCGCGAAAGCTGAATCAAAAGAAAACGAAATTTGAAGAGAGGACGGGGTAGTGTATGGTTGCCGCGTCAGCAGAAGATAACGCGCGGCGCGCTATTGAACGCGGCAGCCTCACCATCGTAGAGAGAACGCTGGAAGAAACGAAGGAGGTGTTGGTCAAAAGTAATATAATTGTGGAAGAGAGCCAGGCTCAACCTCGCTGCCGCTGCCGCCGCCGCCGCCGCCGCTGCTGCTGCTGCTGCTGTTTTTTTCAGCAGCAGCGGCGGCGGCGGCAGGTGTCTGCGTGGCTTCACCGCCCGTCTGCTGCTCGGGTGTGTCATGAGGCATGTGTTCTAGAGTGGGACCGCGCAAAGGTGTTGTGTTGTGTCCCACAGCAGGGCACATCAGAGCACACACACGAGCGGCGCCCTCGCGCGTGCGCGTCAGGTGTTTTTTGGGAGCTTTCGGACCGTTCCGTGCAATTTTATTGGTCAGTCGATTTTCCATCAGGAAGATCCGAGGTCACCTTTTCAAATTTTTTCCTGTAGAAAATTTGCTGCTTTGACACCCCTAACTATGTTCAGAGATATCTACTGCACACATCGGATCGACAGAATAAAGAGCGTTACCAGTGCGGGTAGCTCTCAAGGAACAGCAGCAGCGCACACCAGGGCGCGCTACGCGCGGGGCGCGCTGTGTGCAACATTATTCGCGTCCGGGAGCCGCAGGAAGAAAGAAAGAAAGACTCAGAGCTGTGGGAGGTCGAGACTGCTGAGAGTTGTGAGCGAGGTACACGCTGCTATATGCTTTGAGCTGTGGCTTGCTGCTGTGCCTCCGTGTTAGGGTCATTATGAACAGCTAATTATGACGTCATACAGAACCCAGAGAGAACCAAAAATGTTTCATTTCCGGAACAATATGTCGGCGGTCCAGCGCGGGTGGCTCTTGACACAGCGCACCGCATGGCGCGATACGGTCGGGACGCGCTGAGTACACGCTTCCCGTCCGGGAGCCGAAAGAACGGCAGAAATAGGTTCAAAACGGCGACCTCGAAACAAAAATTGGGCGGACCAGAGAACAGCACATGCGAACCGGTAAAAACTAATCCTACAAAAAGATATTGTCGGAACCCATCTCTCTCCGAGTATGTGGGAGGGGCCAGCATCGCCGAGCCGGCATCTTGCTCACAGCCACGCAGGTGGTTCGGTACAAAGGAGAGGCTGACAACTATGTCGCAGCATGCCGCAGACTGCCGTGGCGCCGATGGCGCGACACCAGCACTCGTTTTCGCCCCACCATGAAAGTCTATCGAATCTCAGCCGATACTCCCCCAACTATATGCCACCCACTACGTGCAACAGTAGATAGATGGTAAAGACTCGCGCATTTTTTTTAAGTTATAAAACTGACCTTTGTTTCGATTGTTCCGTCTGCCCATTCCAGTCGCACCACCCCCTTGTGGACGAAGTAGCATGTGGAGTGTTGGTCCCCCCGGTGGAAAATTATCTCTCCGTCCGCAAATTCCTGTCGTGCCGGACAGGAGCAATAAAAAGTGAAAATATGGTGTATGGTTGACGGAGGTATGAAAAGGGGGGGATGGGGGGTACTCATGTTTTGGATGAAACAAAGGTGTGATAATAGACCATTGGCCACGCGTTCTCGAGAGGACGGAGCATTGTTGCCATCGCCGTTGGCCAATCGTTCTTTCCTACTTGGGCAAAGGGGGGCTGCACCATTTCGTTGTGACGATCGCAATGACGAGGGGCGTCATGGCGTACACAGCGTATAGTCAAAATTAATTAGACCGCCTATGGTAGGATTCATGCACTGTGTTCGTGCCAAGGTACACCGATAAACCAGCAACGTCGGGCACGGCGAGAGGCTGCTTACGCCGGCCCAAACACTGCAGCATCCTTAGACTTACACCCCCCACATCATGGCATCCAGTGATTCGGACAGTACACAGGGGCCGTTGAGGGGTTGGCGGAAATCAATCTACGGAAAATTCTGATCCCCTACACGATATCTACCGCGCGAAATGAAAGAGAGTGTGACGTGCAAGCTTTTCGCAGCGCGTCTAACGTTTGACACGCGAAAGCCGTGTCTACGACCGACAAAGGCGGCGTTCCAACACGCCAACTGTAAACCCACCATCCAGGCGAGGGGATCTAGCCTCCAAATACCCATCTCACGTACAAGCGCTCAAATAACGTCGTGAATCATCTGACCCTGAACCAGCGGCGAAAAGAGAGGACCCCACCAAGGCGACGACAACACTCGCCTCGAAGTTGAACGCTTCCGGGCCGGTCGCGGATTTGATCTTCTTGTAGAAGGACCGCTCGAACATGCGCAGGTTGTTATCCGCCCGCGACCGCTCCCTCAGGGTCCTGAGCAGGTCGACCTTGGCGTACTTCTGGCACTCCTCCAGCTCCTCCACTGTCAGGACCTGCGACTTCGTGCCCGCCGCACCGAGCATTCTGCGGGCCTCCCTCCCGTTGTTGACCTTGGTCTCCCGAGTGATGTTCAGGCTCGCCGCGCCCTGATCATAACACGAGACCAGAGAGATAGTACTCATGTAAAAGCATGCGGTAGAGCGGAAGGTCATTGACCTCGAATCCCTGCGATGCCGAGACGGAGGGATATGCCGGGTTTTCGCCGGCCCAGGCTACGTTTCACAACGATGAACCAGAAGCTGGGGGGATGGGGGCTTACCGTGTTTGACACAAGATAACACACCCCCTTGACCAATCTTCGAAGCTCGATTTCTCAACTGCAGGAACAGTCACAGCGCCGACGTTGAAACCGTCTCGTCGAGAGCTTTTCGAAAATGTATCGTTTCGTTTATGCATCCTCTTCGTCGTGGAGTACTCGAGCTTGGAAAATCGGTCCAGGGGGTGTGTTATCTTGTGTCATATACGGTACTCGTGTTTGGCATGCCTAAGTTGTGAACCCTTTGAACACCCATCCTGGAGAGGCCAGAGCATTGAGAGAGGGGGGGGAGGGACACCTATTTGTTTGTGTTTGCCTTCAACATTTACCGATGACGAGCCGTCCCTACCAATCGCGAGAAACTCGCAACGAACTGGGTGGTAAATAGTCGCAGCTGAGGTGGATAGCATACACAGGTTTAATGCAGGCAGTGGAATGTTCTGAGGATAGCTCTGCATGACAACGAGGTGTTCTGTCTCAAGACGAAACCGAATCGGGCAGCAATTGGTGGGGGAGGCGTGCAACAGCAACGACACCCGTGACAACCCAAATGTAACGTCGTGCCGAAGCTGCCGATTGGCTGACGAGCGACATCTCGCAGATCGGTGCGACTAGACCCTTGATCGCGCGACATTCATCAAAGCACACACACAAACACAACCGAAAGGGGTATATTGGCGCCAGAATGTGTGGACCCATCAAGCACACCAAACACATTTGTCATTGGTCAACCAATTTGCGCGGTCGATGCGTATCCTCTGAAGCAACAAACGCACACCACGTTGTACAGCCCACCCATCATCTTGTGGTCTACCGGTTTGCGCGGACGATGAAAACCCTTTCAAGTACCACACATACACCATATTGCGCAGCCCGCCCAATACACTTTGCGGAGCAAACCTGTTACCTGAGTGACCCTCTTTCCCCATAGCCGCAGCACCCTCTGCTTCTGGTTGTACTCGTATAGGGAGTCCTGAACAACACAAAAACGCCACAGAAGAACACATGTACGAAGGGGGGAGGGATTGGGGTAAGGGGAGTGCGAGGGTGGGGTGTGCGAGAGCACAAGGATAGACGCACAGGCGTGACAAGAAATACTTGTACAAAAAAGTCGTTGGGCCGGAGGAAGCCCACGCGGACAGAGACCACCCATGGTACGTACGCGTCACACCGAACCAGCCCAGAGAGCGCGGAATGACGTTATCATCATGACCTACAGAAGAAGCTTCTCAAAACCCCGCCACCTTCCGTTTTGCCAACAAACAGGGGCAAAGCGACCCTTGAGCTACACTGCAGAAGCGCAAACGAAACAAAACAAAACAGGAGCAAATCGACATGCCAGCTACACTGCAGAGGCGAGACACATCCATTCTGTGCGTGCAAGATATCTTAGAGCGCGTTGGCGGCCTCAATCAAAAGGCCGCCACCCGGGTTCCCCATGAAAAGCAGATACTACGAGACAATTGCAAACAACGGGATAGAGACAACAGCGGCGATGCATGTCATTCGTTGCGACAAGCTATGGGTCGGGTGTATGATACCAATGTGTTGTGAGCAAAGGGGAGCTGGGTGGAAGACACAGATGCCCCCACAGTGGGGGCGCCGCGGTACGGCATCGAGGAGCACCCACCCGGGAGGTTTGTGGCTGCTGGGGAACGGTGTTCCACTTGTAGATCACAAATCGATCGCGCAAATCAAACAACTTAAACTGTCACGAGCAACACAAGCGGAAGCCGGCGCCTTCGACAGCGCCAACCTCTTGTGTACCACCGCAAATGATTCATGGAGAGGTTTCGCGTTGTAACACCCCACCCACACACCTGCAAGTCCTGGTCTGCCTTGCGTTGCTCGTCCACGCCTTGCCTGCTCTTTTCGTTCAGGGCTTCCCTGGGGACAACAAGAGAAAAAGAATCATAGTAGCAGAACCGAAGAACGCACAACAACGTAGAGAGGGAGGTTTAGTTCATGAGCATACAAATATTCAAGTCAGCACAAGCGAGAATTGACGGATGGACATGATACGCGAAACCCACAAAGAGGTTTCGATTCCATGATATCGACTCTCAGGGTAATTCGGCGTACTGCCTGTGCAATGACAGCCAAAACAGTATCGCCGCGCTCGCAACCTCCCTCCCCCCTCCCCCCCAAGACTACCTTGCCCTACCCGCCCTCCCAGACACAAATACACGTTTCCCTTTCCACCGTTACCCTCGCTCTGGTACCTTTTGAGAGAGCCAAGCGGCCACCATCACAACCACAACAAAGAGAGGTCTGACCATGCACCAACCCAACCCAGGCTGAGAGCGAAGCACGTTCTACGGTGGTCAACTGCAAAACGAAAACAGAAAGTCCACAAGCGACGGAAGCCTCCTACCCCCCCCC